GTAGAGAGTTTCAAGGAAACTACTAAGAAACTTATAAGAACTGAAACCAAGGCTGCAAATTATGAAAAAGAAAAGTATAAAAAATCGCAAAAGGTTATTCGACAACAAAAAGCTGTTGAAACCTTGAAGGAGAAGATTAAACTCGAACACGCTCAATATAATGAGGAAAAACGAGACCGACATAAAAAAATAATGTATAAGACCAAGTATGTACATACATATTCAATACATTTATTGTTTTAACAAATTAGCATGTTTTATCTCTCAGAGAAATAGAGGTTTTAGGAAAGCAAGCTGATACCCTAAAAGTCGAGATACTTGCCGCAGGAAGTGCTATAAATGATCAGCAAGAAATCCATTCCTACATTCAAAAACAAATCGCAACATTGATGGATCCGTACAAGTGATATATACATATGGATGTTTCCACCAAAATGTAAGCCGAAAATGCAAGTAAATGAGTTCAAACGGCTTTATAACTTTAAATAACTTTTTATAACTCTAAATTTCAGAAGGCAAAACGGTGGAGAGAACTAAAAAAATAAAAAAATAAAGTTAATTGTATATGTATTATTAGTAAAAATATTGTATGAGGGAGAATATGACACGCCCGTTATCACAATTTACTTCAAAATAAAACCAACAACGAATTCCTTTTGATTAAATATTAGTTGTAATGGTCCATAATATGACTTTATTTAAAGAATGTCTAAGATAGGAAAACCTCACACGATTCGCCGAATTGTGCTTATTTTTACATGTACTCCGAAACCATTTCGGTTTTTGTCACGTCCATTATGACCTCCTTTTCATCAATTTTCCCGACACCAGTGTTCCAATCGCACACTTTTTTTTAAGTCGTACGAATGTCACGTCCCACCCCAGCAAACATTTGGAGTCATAAATGAGTCAATCGGGCCTATCGCGAATTTCACATGAACAATTATTCCCAAAAATTATCGAGCAAAACAAAAACAAATTTTTCCCAATTTGTTTTTGTTTTGCATGTTAAATTATGGGAACAATTTATTCACATGGAATTGGCGATAGGGCTGTTTAAGTAGTCCTATTTCGGAGCACTTATGCTATGAGCACTTACGCATGAGTCCGATATGAGGGTGTTTCCCTTCCTCCGGAGGTCGACTTATATGCGCTTAAATTCATACATCAAATGAGCCTCAATATGAGTCATATTGGACTCTTATTGGCCTCATGTACGGCTCATTTCATATATGAATCATTTCAGCCTCTTTTTGAGGCTCTTATCGGCCTCATAAATTACGACATACGGACTCTTATTTTAGGTTGTTCTTTGAATCTTATTGAACGCATTATATTTGCAAAGGCATTCAGCTAAAATTTCTCTCTAATAACATACATACATGCTTACGTGCATATACACATTCCAACATGCAGGGACGGTTTCGGTTAAGGCCACGAGTTATCTGAGTGTTTATGGCGTTAAGTGCTGTTGTTGTACTGTGCACTTTACGGAAACCATGCTGATGCTTCGCTGGGGTCAAGTGGTTTGTGAAGTACGGGAGTAGCAAGGCCTCGAGTGTCTTCGCTACCGGGGAAAGGAGTGTTATCGGACGATAAGAATCTCCTTTGTTCTCAGGTTTCCCCGGTTTGAGCAGTGGGACCACTCTCCCCACCTTCCAGATGTCTGGGATGATGAGAGTGGCCATAGACAAGTTGAGGACCTCCGTTAGGTACGCTACCCCCGCAGGACCCAAATTTTTCAGCATCAGCATGCATATTCCGTCGGGACCCATGGCTTTGGAGGCTTTCGCCTTCCCGATGGCCACCTGAACTTCACCGCAAGTGAAAGCAAGGGGGGCACAGTTTGTTGGCAGTTTGTGCAGCGTTCTGGTCAGTCGACGCTTGGCTTTGTCCACCGGAGGATGAAGTATGAACTGCCGGCTAAAATAGCTCGCGCATCGCTCCGGGTCCGACGAAGCATGGTCGCCGAAGGAAATTTCGAC